CTTCCTTCCTTCCTTCCTTCCTTCCTTCCTTCCTTCCTTCCTTCCATAGATACATACATACATACATAGTCTTGTGAGAGACTATTCAGGTACTGCTACTTTTAAGATTATTTGCAGCACTTTAAATGCTGGTATGATCTGTCTGCATATCTGCCAAATATTCCTAACTTATTTCTAGGAATCATTGATTACCCTGAGCTGAGCCAAGCCATGTAGGTTTCATCCAGAAAGTTGCCAAGCAACTGGCAACCCAAGCAGGAGTCTGATCTTGATCTGGGTTCCTGATTCCAACATAGCTGACCAAATTACCTGAGCACTCCACACTTGCATCCCTGCCGTGGTCACAGCCATGTTCTCCCCAAGGTCTTTTCGGGCACTCATTCAGAAAAGCTTCTTTCCCTGTGCAGTTCACTCTGTCTAGCCAAATGGTTCCAGATCCTCGGCCAAACTGTGCTCCTCCAATGGCTTTTGTGGCAGTTCCACACTCCAGTTCCCTGCATACCACGTTGGCATCATTTAAATCCCAGTCTGTATCACACACAGTCCCCCACTGCTTGTTGTGATACACCTCAATCCTTCCTGAGCAACGAGTGGGTCCATCCACTAGTCGAAGTTCTGACGGGACAAAAGACGTAAGTGCAGTAGTACATCCTCTGAGCAAAATTTCCACAACCTTGAGGGGAAACATATTTACCGGGGGAGACAAAATTGTGATGTAAACATTGTTCACACACACACACACACACACACACACAATTTTTAAAAATATAATCATGTGTTTGAAGAACCTAGATGCTATTCTTGGGGTAGCAGAAAGGACTCTGTAAGCAAAATCACATCCAATACTTTCTGACATGTCCATGCCAGTCCAGTTAAAGCCACCCAGGTTTTTTGTCATTGCTCACATCGGCTCTCTGGGTGACCATTTGAAGGGCTTTGAGCTACGGTCTTTTGGACTGGTCTTTGCTACATCACTTAATGTGAAGTTTTTCTTTCCTATCCTAAGATGAGCCCAATTAGGTAGCGAGACCTTGGTTGATCTAGAAAAGTAAAGCAGCACTGGGTCTATTTAGGGCTTGAATGGGAGAAAGCAGGATGTCCCAGGGCTGTAGGCTAGACTGGGATGTCAAAAAACAAAACAAAATAAAGCCCATGCAGCAGACAAACTCCCTCCTGGAAGAAAGCAATAGCTAGCAATGTCCATATTGCTTCAAGAGAGCGGCATGGACATGTGCAGATAGTCAACTGGAGTCAAGGCTTATTGCACAGGTCTTCATCGTTCTACCCTGTCAGGAAAACAAAGTGCTAGGTCACCACCCCTTCTCTTGGCAAAAACACTTATCAAGAGAGGGGAAGAACTGTCTTATTTCCATTGGCCACTTCCTCTTCTTTCAAGCATTCCTGACAGCTATCTGGAATAAGAGGTGGTAAAGTGTTTATGGGAAAGATATGTTTCAGAAATGTTTGCATCTGGTGTATCACAACAGGATACTGAAAGCTGCATGTATTTTATTGCACTGCGGTGATTTTTCAATATTATGTTGATTATTTATTTTGTCATGTTTTTCCAGGTCTTCTTTCCTCTTGATGAGGAAACAACCTGAAGGAAACCACAAACCAGTTTTAGCCAACTTCTGCTTTCCTATTACTTTTTCACTTAGGTCTCTATTATTCTTTCCTTACATTGAAACCACTTTGGGATTACTTTTAAAGGAATGCTGTTAAAATGGATGCATATATAAAATAAATAAATGGACAAATATAAACAAAAACAAATAAACAAATACATGAGTAAATACTAGGCAGTCTACTAACAGTATCCACCAAACCATGAAAAATGAATCTATGAGATGTTTTCAGAAAAAGATTGATCCAAAAAAATCTCATACTCAGCTTCAATCCTGAGCTGAATGTCATGAGTGCTTCTTACCTGCACATATCACAGCAGCATCTTCTGAATGAGTGCAATCATGTTCCCCCCATGCTTTTGCTGGACATTTGCTGATGGCTGTTTCTGACCCTGTGCAGTTCATACCATCCAACCAGATGGGACCAACTCCCGGTCCAAACCGAGAACCTCGCGGGGCCGACAAAGCACTCCCACAGCCTAAATACTGGCATACAACTTTGGCATCATCAAGGTCCCAGTCGTCATCACAAATAGTTCCCCAGAGTTTTTCATGCAAGATCTCAACTCTCCCAGAACAATGATTGGGACCATTCGATAATCTGATCTCGGGTGGTTCTGAAGAGGAAAACATCGATAAAGAATGAACATTTCTGGAGATAGTTTACTGCATAATTGCTTTTCTACAAGGTACCAATGTCTCTTTTAACACTGTGGCCTGCAAATGAATATAAACAGAGTCTTGTGATTGCTGAGAAGAGCACTAGCTTATGTTTGATTGAAGAAGAAAAATCTTCTCCTAGTAATGGCCTAGAACCCCTGACATGATGGCTCCCTCATCAACTGTTCTGAGTAGTTTTGCAACCATTTTAAAGTTTAATACTGAAGATTATTATGTTATTTTAAGGTGAAAAACTGTATAAAATCATGCTTTTCTTTGCCATTCCAAGTGATCATTTTTGTATGTCATTCCCAGCCATTATGTTGCTTATAATTCCATACATCTGCAGTTATTCTAACCATAAAGCATAAACGATCCTTCCTTTCCTTTCCAGGTAGAAATGCCCAGATGTATGAATGCAGACATACAAGTGCGAAAGTGTGAGGGAATTGAAACAAAGGGCTGAGCATCTGAGTGGAATTTTTGGAAAAAACATCTCTAAGTTGCTATGTGACAGGAAAGGGAAATTATTTTCTATTTTTCATAAAAAAATAATCTCTAGCCTTTTCCTTCTCTGCAAATCAAATATTATTTTCCTCTATGGGTTTTAAGAACACCACAGAACCTTGCTTTCAGAAGGTATAGTAGGAAATAAAAAGAGATTTTCGTAAAGATGATTTAGAGGATCTTTACCAATGCAACACTGAGGAAAACAAGAGAGAAACAAAAAAACAACAGTTAAACAGCTCTTTTGTCCCATCTTTAATTTCTGGAGGGCAGCAGCTCCCCTTGGAAAATTTTTGATGTCATCCTTATGACTGGTGGATGACATATGGAGAAAAAAGGAAGGGGGAAATTTGTCAGATCTTTTATCTCCATCAAGGAGTCTTTGGGCAAATTTCCTATTATTCCCCTTCCCCAAGGCAATAATTGCCAGGCTATTTCCCTTTTTTCCTTTTTTTTTTTTTTTTGGTCTAAGCTCCTTTTCTTTTATACCTGCCTGACATCTTTGAAAGAAAGGGACAATGACACTATGTAAGACAATTGATGAATGAGGAACACTCTTCAGGGAGTGATTTTCATCCCACAGTCTGCCAGTTTCTAATCCAGTTTGGTGCTGGAATAGGTACCACCGCTCCAGAATTTTAAAAAAAGAAAAAACTGAACATAATATGAACAGAAGAAACAAGGGGTATAGACTATACGATATTTCATTAAGATTTTTTTTCCTCCAACATCTTGTGATTATTACCTGCACACTCCACACCAGCATCCTTGCTGTGGCTACAGCTGTGTTCTCCCAAAGTTTTTGGTGGACATTTTCTTAGACTGTCTTCTTCCCCCGTGCAGTTCACGTGATCCATCCAGATTGGACCAGTTCCTTGTCCAAATTTAGCTGCACCTGCTGCTGCTAATGCATTGCCACAGCCCACTTCCCGGCACACCACATTGGCATCAGCTAAATCCCAGCCATTGTCACATACTGTTCCCCATCTTTGATTAAGCAGCACCTCGACCCTGCCAGTGCAAGAGGTAGAACCACCTGCCAATCTCATCTCTGTGTAGACAGAAAAAGAGAGAATGGAAAGCTAATTCAGTGCAGTGGATGCTAACATGGCAGGCATTCAGAATAGCCATTCCTGGATTAAAAAACAAGCAAAGAACATGTTCATAACTTGCAAACAAAAGCAGTCACAGCTTCAATGACACTAATGCCAACATTCTCTGCATTTGGCAGGAGCCCATCTAATTACTTGAGTGGGATCACCAACAGCATCTACGGACAGAATCCATCACCTTTGTTTATTCCAACATCATAGAAATCTACCAATTCTGTTTTATTTTTAATAGTTGTGGGCTGACCTACAGTACCTTCAGAAAATCTCCTGAATTATTTTAAAAACAAATATGGACCACATTACAATGGCAAAGTGATAATTAACTTGACGGTGGAAGGAATGCTTTTGTTCGTTCCAACTGAGCAGCTACTGGGAGATGTTAAGTTTTCAGTTAAGACAATTTTGCCTTTCTCATCCTTGGCCTGCTATCTTTCCAGAACTTGATCCCATCTGAGACTAGGTCTTTTGGATTTCATACTGATTGTCACTCCATCTCCTTTCTCTCATGGAAAAATCCTATGTGAAAAATAAATATGTTCCCCTTGAGGATGGCCGTGCTTTTGTAGCTTCTGGTAGGGTTCTTGTAAAGAAGGTTAGAGTCCCTTCACACAGAGAGTAACCATATCCTTTTTCTTTCATTACTCCTCCCCTTCTTAAATATAACAGTACTCAAACTTGGCTGATCTCAGAAGCTAAGTACAGTTAGATCTGGTTAGTACTTGGACAGGGGACCTTGTGGAAAATCCAGAACTGTTAGTTGGATTGAGATATCAAAAAACCATCTCAGGAAAAACAATAATCATGTTTTATTGTTTATAATGATGCCAGGAAAACTACAACCACCAGAAGTCAAGCTCAACATGAGGAGGACATCTTTACCATTTTTAACTCTCATATTAATTCACAGGTATTGCTGGTGTTGCAGACAGGTCATTGAGTTTAGTTCCAAGTGACAGTTAAATTGTCCTCTTGTAATATCCTGGAGCTATTCTATGTATATGCCTTTCCCTTGTTGTGGTAAATACCACTTATCGCCACACAAGAGCATGTTTTCACTGAAATATGTACAACACAAAAGTTATCTGGTACATTATTGCTTGTGATAAGTTTATCATTCCAAGGTTGCCATTCCAAAGGTGCTATTCAACTACTATCCTGTAGTGCATATGTACACTACAGTTGCATAGTGTTCAGATATTAGTGGGTTAAAAGAATTCCCTCCAGGCCATGAAAAGCTTCACTTGTTGAAACCTCATATCAATAAGCTTTAATAGTACATTCACAGGCCATGCCAGCTGGCAAACTTGATTGTGTTAGAAGGCAAGTGTGAGATAACTCATAGTTGATGAACTCACCTGAGCAGATAACACTAGCATCTTCTCCATGATGGCAATCATTGTCTCCCCAAGGTCTTGCTGGGCACTGGCTGAGGGAGCTCTCTGTCCCTACACATCGAACTTCATCCATCCAGATGCGTCCAACTCCTCTGCCAAAATGTGACTCCCTTGGTGCTGATATTGCACCTGCACAGCCCAGCTGCCGGCATACAACACGGGCATCTTCAATGCCCCAGCTATCATCACAAACAGTACCCCACAACCCATTATGGAGTACTTCCAGTCTTCCAGCACAGCGACTTGAACCATTCACCAGGCGGATCTCTGCTTGCTCTGTATCTGTTGTGTGAATGGTCCAAGCTATACCTGCAAAAGCAAATTTCACAGAGTGAATTAATAAGAGGAGGGGACAGGATGGGATGGATAAAAGAAAAGCTTCCTTTATATAACTGCTTTGAGAATAGCAACAGGAGAAAAAGAAGGGAATAAGGGAAAAGGTTTGAGAAGCACTTGCTGGATTAAAATAATATGTAGGAACTCCTGATAGGCTATAAGGGTAGTGACATCATAGCTTTGCCAAAGCCTCTTTCACCACCTTTGCTTGAATGCCAAACTTACTACTTACTACTTAAGTAAAGCAAAGCAAAACAGGTTGTCCAGGAATTTAGAGTAGGCTAAGAAAACAATGATAAAAGAAATGGTTGATTAATTGAACAGATCCTGATAATTTTGGGATCTTTCTTTTTTAAAATGTCCTGTGGCTTACAACTCTGTTCAGTGCTGCTCTAAAGAAGTTAAAAACATTAATGGGAACTTACCTACAATTGTCAAGAAATCTTTTAACAATAGCAAGATAGTAAGATGGAAATCCTGTTTCCAAACTGAAATATAACTTATGAACTGAACCTAAAGAAATATTAGTGAGCACCATTACTACTTTACTTTGTTTAGCTTTATAAATATATTGGGGTTAATCACAGAAGCACAAATGATGCCTTATGGATATCTCCCAAGACACTTTATTGCAGGTCTTCATTTTGGAAAAAAAAGAAACTTAACAGCACAATTGACCAAGAGATTGTTGAACTCACATCCATCAAACGGTTTCAAGCTATCTCAAAAGGTCTCAACAAAATGGATTTTATAACACATTACAATTGTTAAGTGAACCTGTGTAATCTACATCTGTATAACCAATCTGCCTTTCCTTCCCTTCCCTGCCTCCTCCTCCCAATGTAACTCCTATCTTAGTTTAGCCACTCCATACATCTGATAAGTGAGCTTAGTTCATGAAAGCATATGCCTTTTAATAAGTCTGAAAAGGTCCTACCAGACTCCTTGAGAAAAGATACAGTGTTGTAACAATATCAAAAATACAAAATCTTGCAAGTTTGCATCATACAACCAATTGCTCTTTGAGAACAAAAATGCAGTGTATACTTTACAGAAATACTGTTGCTGCTTAAAACAAGAATGTCATACATGGCATATTGATATGTACTGTGACTCATTGTCAGCAGATCTTGATCACAGTGTCTCTGGCACAGTTAATTCTCACTGGACTATTGCAATGCACTCTGTATGGGACTGCTATTTCATAAGGTCATACACTACAATTGGTCCAGAATGCTGCAGCCAGACTCTAAACAGAGATCACATATACGGAAGTATGTAGTACTTTATTTAAACAGCTATGTAGGTTTTCAATTCATTTATGAGCATATTGTAAAAGACTAATTTTTAAAACCCTTAAAAAAAGATGTCTAAAGGATCCTTAATTTAGCCACCAGCAAGCTGGTGACTTTCTGCCAATGTAGGCTAAACTATGAGCTGAAGTCCTGGAAGGCAACAGCTTGGGGAAGATGACCAAACTTCATATTAAAATTTGTACCTATTAAAATCTAAGATGGAACCTGGTATATCCTAACATCTCCAGAAAAATTGAGGGTTTTAAAAATGGGTCAAAGAGAAGGCCTTTTCCGTAACTACATGAAACCTCGGGATCTCACTTGTTATCTCTTCTTTAGCCTAATGGCCTTCTGTAAAGTAGTTCAAATCTTCCTTTCTGAATATAATTTTTTTAAAGAATTTTAATTACAATAGTAAAAACTAATACAAACTAAACTTAAAGAAAGAGATGAGAATGGAAAGAAAGAAGAAAAAGTGCAGAAAGAAGGAAGAAGAAAAAGAAAATAAAGAATATAATAAAGAAAAAGAAAAGAATACATACATACATTTGACTTCCAACCTTCATCAGAACAAGTATAAACAAATTTAATAACTATTCACCCCCTATAAGGTTACAAACAGATATCCCTTCATTTTATATCCCACCCCTTATCTATAAGCAAATCCATAGAACATCAAACTTTTCAGTCCTGGTGTTAGCAAAAAGACCATAAAGCATTGCCAGAACATTGTAATACACACACACACACACACACACACACACACACAGACAGACATATAGAAACATTGATCAAATAAGCCATCTTTATATTCCTTCCCTTTACTTCTAACAGTCTTAATTTTTAATTCAATCAAATATTGTCATATGATTTGATTTCTTTTCAATTCTTCTTTATCCCATCACACAGATTTCAAGGATTTAACAAGCCTTTTTTGTAGATCCAATAAGAAAACATTTTCCAGGTCATTCTGTTGGTTTATCATGTGTATTTCCCTTTTAATTTTTAAAACTTCTTTTGTATATCCAGTAAAGTATCCTTTTCCAAATCATTCTCTTGGCCTGTCATTTGTATTTCCATTTTTAATACTTTCTCTGTCTTGTCAGATAAAATTTGTTCCACATTGGTCATTCCTTATCTTTTGGACATAGTCTATCCATAGAAGCAGACATCATTACTGACAGTGTTGAGATTGTTGTTACTAATTTCTGGTTCCATTCTTC